GGAGGAGGAGGAGGATGGAGGAAGGTGGGAGGGAGGGAGGGAGGGAGGGAGGGGAGGAGGAGGAGGGGAGGAGGAGGAGGAGGAGGGAGGAGGAGGAGGAGGAGGAGGAGGAGGAGGAGGAGGAGGAGGAGGAGGAGGAGGAGGGTGTGGAAGAGGTGGATGATGATAAGGGGGGGAGCCCTCGCTGCCGTGACATCTCGCGTGCGCTCTCCCCTGCCCGACTGCCGCGGGCTGCCCGCGACTCGGCTGCCCTCCCGCCTCGCTCGGCATGGCGGACCGCCAGAGGCGGCCTCGCCGAGAGGATCGCCAGCCGCGGGCCCTGATCGGGTGTTGCTAGAAGTGCCCCTGGCCCAAGGTACCCCCAGGATTCTCGGGGTGGCCCAGGAGGCCTCCAGGGCACCCCTCACGAGCCCCAGAGGGCCCCAGGGGGTCCAGAATGGATCGAAAGGCTGGGGGCACCTTGGGCCAAGGGCACTTCTAGCAACACCCGACCTGAAGTGCCGTCTCGCCCTGGCTCGCCCTTTCGCCGTTCTCCCGGCCCAGCCTGCGCCTGACTGTTGGGCTCCGCTGGCTGCCGTGTGGCCGGCTGATCTCTGGCGAAGTCTTCTCGCTGTGCTGGTCGCCCGCCGCCCATTGGCGACGCGCCGCCTCGCCCTGGCGCGTTCGCGCCTGCTTCGCCCGCCCCGCCTCTTCGGCCAGGTGGTCACCAGCGACCAAGCGGGTTCCGCGGCCCAGGGGCTGCCCTGGGAGGTTTCGGGTGCGCCAGACGGGGCGGCGCAGAGTCCAGGGGCGCCAGGCCGCGGGGACGCCAGGGGGAGGCCAGGGGGAGGCCGAGGTCATAGTAGGGGGAAGTGAGGGGGAGGCCAGGAGAGTATGACGAGCGACGACGCACGACGACAATAACGGATTCCGCGGCCCAGGGGGGCCGCCTCCGGGAGGCCAGATGGGGCAGCTTACCGAGGCCATGCCAGGCGGAGAGGCTACGGGTAGGCCAGGCGAGGAGAACGGACGACGACGAACAACGGAAAGATAGATGGCCGAACTTTAGACTGAACACAGCTGTGCAAGAAGACGTGCTTGTGTGTGTGTGTGTTTGCGTGCGTGCGTGTGTGTGTGTGTGTGTGTGTGTGTGTGTGTGTTTGTTTGTGTGTGTGTGTGGGTGTGTGGATTTGCGTGTGCTCCGCCTCTTTTGCCTGGCCTGTGCTCGGTGAAGTGAGTGAGCAAAGCGCACAAGGCGGACCAGGCAGGTGGCGCGCTTGTTTTCGAACCAGTGCTGAATGAGTGCGCAAATATAGGGCGGCAGGGCGGCGACGTTTGGGCCAGCAGGTCGCACGGCACCAGAGCCAAGCGACGGTACCAGGCCGCGCAAACGGCGTGGGGCAGGGGTGGGGGGTGCAGCACCAGCAGGTCGGCTTCTCGACCCTGGGAGCCTTGGTCTCAGTACTGGAAGCCGGGAGATCCAGTTGCTTGCGCCAAGCCCGCCACCGTGTCGACGACGCCTCAGGCGCTTCCGAGTTCGGGTCTCGCTTTGCAAGGTCGCGGTTCGGGTGTCGCTTTCCATGGTTGTGGCTCGCCTTTTCCGAGGTTCGGTTCTCGCTTTCCAGGGTTGCGGTTCGCGTTTCCAGTTTTCCGCTTTCGGGCGGTCCTCGTTTTCAAGAGTTCATGCACCGACCTCGCCAGCAGCGGCGCGAGCGCGGGGCGGCTGCACCAGGCGCTGGTGCTGGATTGTTCAGCTTGTTTCCCGACTACCACGCAGCGATCCGGAAGGCAGCGCTGACGTCAGAGTTGGGGTCAGCCATGTGCGCAAGGGTCCAGGGTTGCGGGGCAACCTCTCGAAGGGGTCCAAATCTCTCGGAGGGTCTTGGGAACATGATTTTTGCACATGTTGTTACCTTTATGAAGTCCCCCGCCTCCTGAGAGGGCTGGCCATGATTTCGCGTGGCCCCCGGGCAACGGTCAGTCTTGGGCCCGTTCACGGACCACACGGACCGTAAAGTGGCGCCAGGGCCGTCGCTGAAGGTACGCACGCATGTGTGCGCGTAGGCACGCGCGTGCGCGTTTGCGTTCCTCTTGGTCCTCCAGGCGAAGCGCGCCTATCGACACGCGTGCCGCGGGGTGTCCGAGGCCGCGGTCCACGACGCCGAGATCGACGGATGATATCGCAAGGCGCGCCGTTTGGCCAGCGCCAGCGATGCCGTAAGATCGTATGTCAGGGGGTCCAGAGGCAAACGCGTCCTTACCCGAACCAGACTCGGACACTGTGCGCCGAAGCCGCGCGATCCAGAGGCCGAGAACACGCGACACAGTAAAAGGTATGACGCGTGCGATCCAAGCTCTCTGAGGCGCCGAGGTGCTCAGCTGAGCAGGCGTCGCACGGAAGCTCACTGCGACCAGCTTCGTACGCAAGTTTCGATCACGGTCCTTCTCCCTTCGCAGCAATCTCAGTACGCATGCAGCACGCGCTCGCACGCACACGGTGCGCAGGAGCACGGCGCGCACCGACCCTGCACCGTGCGCACGCGCGCGCGGGCACGCGCATGCGCGCGCGCAGGCTCGGACGCGTGTGCGCACGTCGGGGGACCGAAGCATGGGCGGGAGGGGGACTGGTGAGTCACCGCCCACCAAGCCACCCCAACCCAACCCGAAGGCCCCAATTTGCCCTCCATTTCCAGTGGGGGGGGTCGGGGAACATTGGAAAAACACATATGAAATCCATACCCCCCCAACCCGAAAATTCGGGTCTTCGGGTTGGGTTGGGGTGGTCTGGTAGATAGTCAGTAAGAGGGGATGGGGGAGAGGCGTCCGTTCTTGGTCATGGGCGGAGTTCGATCTTGTCTTCACTCCTGGCCCACCTGGCCCTAGCTGAGGCTAGCGCTCCAGTTTCTCGGGGTGTCCGACGGCCAGGCAGGGGGGGGGGCGGAATTGCCAAGGAGTTCGCCAAGCTGGTAGTGTCCGTCAAGTCCATCAAGGTGGTCGAGGCGGTTGGGAACGCCTTAGTCTTTTCTCTTTTTCTCGGGATATCCTAGTCCTCGGCCCCTGATCTTTCGATGGCGGGCCGAGCTAAAGGTTTCCGTTCGGGTGGTCTGTGACCTCGATGTTTTGCTCCCATATCATATATGTATATATGTATATATTGCAGTTGTTCCTCAAGCAGTGTCTGCATGAGTCGGGTTCTGGCCAATTCAGACTGCGTATTCGGGCTTCGGTTTGTTGTGTGGGGTCCCGCCCGTGTGGTATGTATCTTCGTTAAGCAGTATTTGCTCTTGTATAGTCTTACTTGCACTGCAAAGACAATCAGGGGCGTATTCCTACGAACGGCACGCCATGCAACCACCACGATTCCCAAATACTGAAGGTGGTTCAGGGCGGGACCCTATGAGCAGCACCCTACGCAATCGTCACAAACACCAACAGACAAAGGCAATGCAGGGCGGAACTCTATATGCTGCACCTTATGCGATCAACGACACCTCGCAAACAATCAAAGGAACTCATGGCAGATTCTTATGAGCGGCGCCCTCAACCACCACAAAACTCAACAAAGAAAGGCAACTCAGGCGCCTCCCATGGTGTCCCGCTCTTCCTTGGCTTGTTTGTCCAAGTCAGCCGTCTGGGGTCCACGGGCATGCACTATTCCATTAAGCGCATTTCTGTGCGGTGCAACCTCTGTGGCGGGATCTCCATGGTGCAAGTCGAGGCCCTTGTGAGCGGGACCCTCTGCGGCCCTATGGGCCGGACCTTGTGGCAGCCTGCATTTTCTGGCGGAGCACGGGGGGCCATGGGCAGGACCCTGGCGGGATCCCGTGGGCGTGGCCCCCCGGCAGCCGGCATTTCCCGGCGGAGAGGGGGTCCCTGCGTGGCGGGAACCCGAGCGGACCCCGTGGGCGGGGCTCTACGGCAGCCGAGAAAGTTTGGCGCAGCATTCGGCCTCGTGGGCGGGACGCTGCAGTGCCCAGCTCCTGAGGCAGCTGTCATCGTATCGCTGAGTGGAAGCACTGATCCAGGAGCAGGCGAGAAGGAGCGACACGTGTGAGGAAGCCAAGGGCGCCAGAACATGTAAGGTGGTGAACTATGAGATACGGCCGTGCAGGGTGAGCGCAGTCCACGATGAGGTAGGCGAAGCCGCGCTAGGCTGGGCTAGTCTAGGGGAGGGTCATTTAGACACGGCCACGCTGTGCTCTACGCAATGTTGGATTAAGCTAAGTGGTGGGTAGGCTAGGGCAGGGCAATGACTAGTTCGCCACAGAGCCAGAGCTCGAGCTGGGGCTGGATCTGGACCTGGGTTGAGCTAGTCTTGGCACTGCTGGGCTATCAGAAGGTAGGTTCAGCAAAGCTACGTCTACTTCTAAACGCAATGTTTATCCGAGGAATGCCAAACTCGACGCAAACATGTGTTGAAGCTAAGTCTAAGGCTAAATCTGCGTGATGACACTTCTATCTTCGCGTGCACCTTCCGATGCCAAACCATTTGTGAAGGTTGCCACTCCGATCCGATGGCGTTCCGCATCGAAGGAAAGCCTCTCGTCTGCCAGTGCCAGCAAGAGTCCACTCATGGCATGAGTGGCGATGCTCTGCTTATGGGATTTCTTCCGCGCGCCCGCCATGCCGCACATTCAAGCAGCCTCAGAGTATATTTGCTTTGTTTTGCAATTGCTCTGGCATCGCTGGAGGGACCCAAGACCGACAAACACGTGCTGTATGTTGTGTGCCCATGAAGCTGGCCTATGTATGTGTACATGTATACACATATGTATATCTGTATTTACGTGTGTGTAGATACATATATATATACACATATATATATATATATATATATTCATGGACGCGCTGGAGTTCCTTCTCATGGGGACCTCAGTACGATGGGGCTGGGAAGTAAGGAACAGACCTGTTCGCTGCGGCTATCTTGGCACAATCGACCAGCGACTTGACCCCCCATGCGCTGTTGCCATCGGAGTGGACGTGGCATACTGAGCAGAACTTCTTGCAATTAACTATTATTTGACGTCATGTGAATTCATCTTCCCTTCCTGTGAGACTGACGCGTTGGACTTTTTGCACTTCGGTCAAAACTGCGTCAACAATCTGAGCCGACAGCCACACGACTGATGCGCTCGTTCGCTTAGCAGTAAACGAGAGCGTTGCTACAAGGTTTCGCACACGGATTGCACAACGCCGCTGTGGTCTCATGGGATGCACGGGCAAGTTCGATGCTCGGTCAAGGTGAAATTGAAGGGGATCCTAATTTGGTGACTCACACTTCAGTGGACAACGTTGATTATTTTTCGAAAACCAAACCATTTATTGATGAGACATCATGGGCATATACACATGAAGGATAGCCGAACTTGGAAGCAGAGGGAATCGCGTCTTTTGAATCAGTTTTGGAAACCCTGAGTGCACAACATGCGCAGACACGGAGAAAGGGGAAGCGTTAGGCAAGAGGTTCACAGATGGGAATCCACGCCTCGAATTATCATGCCGGCCCCAGGGCCTGAAAACGGCCTTTGGACGTGGAAAATGACAGTGCGAATTTGGCACGATTTTTTGGAGTCGCCAGAGGATCGGGGAGTACGGGAGGCCAACGTTACAATGACGACTACGACGGCTTCGGTCACTTCCACAACCTCGACCACGACCAGCAG